GTACCCTCAGTCTCTGCTCCAGTGTCCACAGCAGCAGGCTGCAGAGGCGGCAAAGACGGCAGAGGTGGGAACCCGGGAGGTGTAGCCAGACAAGGAGAGCGGGCACCCCTGGACTCACCACCCCCAGCCCCAGCTCCAGTAGTCTCAGCTCCAGAGTCCACAGCAGCAGGCTGCGGAGGCGGCGAAGACGGCCGTGGCGGGAAACCCAGGGGGGTCTTTAAGCGAGGAGTGGTACCAGGAAGAGAGGTGCGGCGAGTGGTCGCCGTGTCGTCGGCGACGGCGTCACCCCCCTCAGTTGAGTCAGAGGAGTCAGAAGAGATCTCAACTGGCTCATCCAAGGGGGGTGGGTCTACCTGGGACACACCTGAGGGAGCAGGACCCTATGGGGGAAGGGGGTCTACCGGGGGGGGGACTGGTACCAGGAAGAGAGGTGCGAGAGGGACCGGGTGGGACGCGTGCGGGTGAAGTCAGTAGTAACAGACCGACTCGTCAAAGGTGACATCCTGAGAGGACAGAACACGACGCGAGGCAGGGTGGTAGAACTGCCAGGGTGGAGCGTCGGTGGGGAAGCCCAGGAAGACACAGCAGAGAGTGCGAGGGGAGAGCTTGCTCGCTTTGGTATCGCGAACAAGGGAGAGCGCGCCCCAGACCCGAAACGACGACGCATCACCAGGCTGTCCCGTCCAACGGAGTGTGGGCGAGGTCTCTGGAGCAGAGACACGGGGCCAGAGGTTGAGCTGATGCGCGGCGTATCGGACCGCAAACGGCCACAGGAAATGGGGAGCAGCCACATGGATCATGGAGGTACGAGCAACCTCCATGATCAGGCCAATGCGACGCTCAGCGATCCTATTTTGCTGCGGAGAGGCCGGAAGCGTGAACGACTGGGCGATGCCCTCATCCTCGCAGAACGTCATAAGGACGCCAGAGGAGAACTCACCACCCCTGTCAGAGTGTAGACGGAGGACTGGAAAGTCCCGCCGAAACCGCTCGCGCAGCTGGTGACGAGTAGCACGGATCCAGGGGATCAAGACACCACTGACATCCGCCTTGCGCCGCAAAGGGAAGACTGTGGTGTAGCGTGTGTAGTCGTCAACCACTAGCAGGAAGTAGCGCTCCTGGTCCGTTCCACTGACGGGGGCCGGGCCCCACACGTCCATGTGGAGAGTCTGCAGAGGAGCAGTGGTCGGAGGAAACTCGGAGGAGTGAGGAGCGGCGCGTTGCCGCCCCTCGACGCAAGGAAGGCACGGCGGCGCAAGTGAGTGCGGGAAGGGGGGCAGGTTCTCAGGGAGGTCAGTGACCAGGAGCCGGGAGTGCATGCGCCGCAGACGCTGCAAGGAGGGGTGACCAAGACGGTGGTGCCAGCGCTGAGTCTCGTGCGTGAGTACTCGGCACGAGCAAGACGCAGCTAACTGCTCTGACGCAGACGCTCGACTCGACGTAGCTACCTGACCTGACTCAGCCACCTGTGCAGACGCAATGGTCAGTGTGTACAGACTGGACCCAGGCTGTCGAGTGAACGTAGCCAGGTGACGGCCAGTCCGGGAGCACGTACAGATCGCCACACGCTGCCCTCCAGGAATAAAGGTATCAACCCAGACATCCTGAATGGCAGCGTTGCTCACCAAGTTCGTCGAGAACGTGGGGAGGTGGAGACCTGACAAAGAGCCGGAGGGGACTGCTGGACAAGGGAGGACCGTGGAGGTTCTCGCAACCACTGGGCCCCCAGAGGGGTCAGCCGGTGAGACTGGGACAGGTGCTGTGAGTGGTGTGACTGTGGTGCAATGACGGAAGAAGCAACGTGACGCGCCGGAGTCAAGCGTGAAAGTGTGCAAGACCTCACCTGAGGCAGGACCTGTGGTAGTAGACGCACTAGCAACTAGAGCGTCGGTAGACTCACGGGCACCTAGAGCTGCAGCAGACTCACTAGCACCTGGAGTGGCAGCAGACTCACTTACACCTGGAATGGCAGCAGACTGACTAACACCTGGAGTGGCAGGAGACTCACTAACACCAAGAGCAGCGGTCTTAACATAATGATAACCTCCACCACCAGGACGACCTCGCTGAATAACCCACTTACGAAGCTGCCGAGGGGTGGGGTCGTCCGGGAGAAGCAGTGCCCGCTGCTGTCCACCCCTGGCCGCAGCGACTGCCGCGGAAGTGGCCATGACAGACAGTGACTATTAGGAGTAGGTCCAGCACCTCCAGCTCCTACAGCGCCAGCAGCACCTCCTACACTCCCAGCAGCACCTCCTCCACTTCCAGTAGCACAAGTAGCAGCAGCAGCAGTAGTAACAGCAGCAAGGCGGCTCGGTGGGGGTGGGAGGCCGCACCTCCACCACTCCCAGCAGTACTCCCTCCAGTAGCAGCAGTAGCAGGGCGGCTCGGGCAGCAGCAGCAGTAGACCGAGTAGCACTAGCTATAGCAGTAGCAGTTGCAGTAGCAGCAGCAGGGTTCGGACACAGTGGCAGAGCAGCAGTAGCACTAGTTGTAGCAAGTGCAGTAGTAGGAGCTGCAGCAGTAGCACTAGCTGTAGTAGCAGTAGCTTCAGTCAAGCAACAGTAGTTTCAGTCAAGAGCAGCTGTAGCAAGTGCTGGAGTAGGAGCTGCAGCAGTAGCACTAGCTGAAGCAAGTGAAATAGTAGGAGCTGCAGCAGTAGTACTAGCTGTAGCAGCAGTAGCTTCGGTCAGGAGCAGCTGCAGTAAGTGCTGGAGTAGGAGCTGCGGGAGTAGCACTAGCTGTAGCTTGAGTAGCTTCAGTCAATAGTAGTTGTAGCAAGTGCTAGAGTAGGAGCTGCAGCAGTAGCACTAGCTGTAGTAGGTGCTGGAGTAGGAGCTGCAGAAGTAGCACTAGCTGTAGCAAGTGCTAGAGTAGGAGCTGCAGTAGTAGCACTAGCTGGAGCAGCCGTAGCTTCAGTCAGTAGCAGCTGTAGCAAGGGCCATAGTAGCAGCAGAAGCAGTAGCACTAGCTGTAGCAGCACTAGCTTCAGTAGCAGCAGCAGTGAGTAGCGCTAGCTGTAACAAGAGCAGCGTCAGTAGCAGCAGCAGTGAGTAGCGCTAGCTGTAGTAGCAATAGCAAGGAGGAGCAGCTGCAGCAAGTAGCAGCAATAGCGAGTGCAGCAGGAACACGGGCCGCGTGCGGGCCAGGCGCGGGCTGTAAGGGCTGCGTGCGGGCCTAGTGCGGGCTTTACGAGTTGGGTGCGGGCCTGACGTGGGCTGTACGGGCTGCGTGACGGCCTGGCGCGGGCTGTACGGGCTTCGCGACGGGCCTACGCAGGCTGTACGAGCTTCGTGACGGGCCTACGTGGGCTGTACGGGCTTCTCGACGGGCCTACGCGGGCTGTACTGGCAGTTAGGGCGCGGTCAGGGGGGGTCGCACGTGACTAGGAAGGAAAATCGCGTCTAGGGCAGAAAAAGGAACCGTCTCGCCTAGAGCACGGTTTCGAATTTCGCGTTTCTCCTAGGGGCGCGACTCGGGCAGTAGATCGAAATAGTAGTGGTGGGCCCTTTTAAAAATTCGGTCCTAATGAGCATTGTGCTCTTAATACCATGTTAGAATCACCAGCTAAGTGAGGAATGAGTGTGGATTAGGTAAGAGGGAGGGGGTACAAGGATGTCGAGAGAGTTGGGTTGTATCCTCTTAGGTGTGACCCTGCATAACCTAGAGTAAGAAACATAACAATATGTTTTGACATCCAGCGTACTTCATTATACTTGCATGTTATTCTAGATTTGGAAACATTGTAGTGGACTTATTTTTACACAATTTCCACATAAATATTTTACTATATCGCGTTTTTGGAAGGGACAAGGGTGGGAAGGAAGATTGTCACTTCACTTGGGGAAGACTGCTAATATGACTACAACTAGTTCATTCTAGTAAGTTCAAATTTAGTAAGCAGAAATGTGTATTTCGAAGCTCGTTATCTGTTAGCTGCATAAAGAAGACGCCACCTGGACATGAGCCAATGCGGGATGAGGAATGAACATCCCCCAGAGCGCGTCGCAAATCCCCCCCATCGTCGCTCATTCGCTTCAGAATTCATGCCTTCCACGAAGAAATCGGAACAACCAATAAGAACACAGAAGCTCCAAGCAATCCCCTTGGAATTCGTCGATACTTCTCCATGCTCCGTTACTCTCGATCTGCTGCATCGTACGGTTCAGATGCGCCGGAATCTCAAAATGTCGTTTGAGCATGACGGAGCAGTGACGGTGCATGCTTCGCCTCGCCAAGCCAACCAAACTGGCTCCCCTCCAGTTGCAGCAGTCCGCTTGACACTGGTGGCCCCTGAGAGAAGCACCTGCTTCTTTATTCTCCTGAAGAGTAAGTTAGGTCTTTCATCCAGTTAGGTCGGCTGGGTGACTTACCCCCGAGTGACGAGGCCCTCCGACCTACAGGATCTCCAATCCCCACACTCAGAACGGAAGGTCAACTGTGCCTGCCATCTGCTAGCCATGGCTGCCTCTCTCACCACTCCCGTAGTCGGTGGACTCGTAGTTGCTTCATCCTCTGCCAGCGAGCTTCATGGCACTTCCATCCCACTAACTATTAAGTGCCCACCATCCGCCTCCCAAGTGTGCAAGCAGTGTGCTGTCTGTGCTCTACGCTCACCCAAGTCTCCACATGCTACCTACTTCCGCAGAAAACAGGAACGCCCAGAGCCAGTAAAAGCAGTTACTACCCTTCCTAGTCCTTTGGCTACGACCATTTCTCCCCTGTCGTCAGTCTCTGACCTTTTGATGCTCGAAAATTCTTTATACGGGAGAGAATTCCTTTTGGACTGTGAGTTTCCGGAAGGGGTGGACGAAGCTGCCCTCACAAAGGAACTGAGTGACGAGGAGACTGAACGCTCGTTGCTGGAATCACAGTGGGAGCTTCCTTCGAAGGATCCTGAGCTCTCTGAGAATGTCCCTGAACCACTCCCGGCTAGCAGCTCCAGGAAGGCTAGCAGAAACATAGTTGTTACCAAAAGCATGTCTGCGAGGAAGCGCCGTATGCAGGCCAGACGCAACCGAGATTTGCAAGACCAGACAGCAGATGCTAATGTTTTCCGTGTGGGGCTAGAAAGCAAAGGCAAAGGGGACGTTAGCGAGAAAGAGTCGTCGAGCGACTTTCTTGCAACTTTTCTTACTGAAATTGGGAAGGCCAAGCTGCTGACAAGGGAAGAAGAGATTGAATTGTCCAGGAGAGTCAAGAAGTCTGTGGAGCTCCAAAATCTACGAGCCAGGTAGGCCTCGATACCTCTTCTCTCCTCGTTTCGTCTGTGCCTTCTGCCTTGATGCTGAACGTCTACCGTTCTGATGTTTCAGGGTGTCTGAGGAGCTTGGTCGTGAGGCCACCCATTCCGAGTGGGCGAAGGCACAAGGCTGCTCGGTATACTCACTGAGGAGGAAGCTGAGAGAGGGGGAGCTGGCTAGGCATAAGCTGCTTGCGACTAACTTGCGTCTGGTAGTCTCTGTGGCGAAGAAGTACCTAAGATGTGGGGTTGAGCTCTCCGATCTGGTCGCGGTAGGTGACTCCATACTACGTCTGCTCGTTCATTCGAGTAAGAAGTGAATCTCAGTTCAATTACGCTGGCCGGTTTGCTTTTCAGGCTGGAACAATGGGCCTATCCAAAGGTGTGGAGAAGTTCGACCCGAACAGAGGCTACAAGCTCTCCACTTACGTTCACTGGTGGATCCGACAGGTAGAGCTGTCATACCTTCGAACTCAATCTATCCGTGGAATTGCTGTTTCCAGTTTTGCTGACTTCATTCTTTCCCACTTCTGTCTTTCAGGCGGTAACACGGGCTGTTGCCGACCACTCCCGCACGATCAGACTGCCTGTCCATGTGCACGAGACCCTCGGAAGATTGAGGAGGGCGAAGGCACAGCTTGCGAGCGAAGGGGAACTAGCCAACGTCAAGGTGAGTAATGTACCGCCAGATTCGTTGCGAACCACTTGAGGTCAGCCTGAAACTGATTCTAATGCGTCCGCCTGTTCGCAGAATCTCGCCAACACCTTGGGACTGTCAGAGCGGAAAATTGACAACGTCCTCAAGGTCAGTGATATCTTGGGTGTATTGTAACGCCTTTCTTGTATTGGTTTACATGGTCCAACGTCTGAACGTTTTGTCTGGTATATTGCAGCTCAAGTACAAGACTAGGTCCATGAACGAGGAAGTCTCGCCAAACAACCGCATGGAAGAGGGCTCAACAATGGACAACGTGAGTACTCGTGTTTTTTCTTTTCTTTTCTTTTTTACAATGTGGTCGTCCTTTGTCATGACTCTCTATAACTTCGGCATCTCTTTTCAGTTTATTGCAGATCCAGATGCGGAAACTCGCCCCTGGAAAGAGCTGGAAGCGGATTTCTTGCAGGTGAGACTGATTCACGTGTAACTTCCCTGTCAATTTTGTTTTTTGTGAAGTTTTGGTTTCTCATGTGCTGTGCTCTGCTTTCAGGCCAATGTGAAGAATGTGCTGCTTGATCAGCTTGATCCTCGAGAACGGGACATAATTCGCCTAAGATTTGGATTTGGGAGGACTGATGGAAGGACAATGACTCTTGATGTGATCAGCCAGCGGTAAGTGTTTACTGCTTTCGCGTCCTGTATGTACCGTACTTGGTATGGGGTGCTCACTTCTGTTTTTGTTTTTGCTGCAGATATGGAGTCTCTAGAGAAAGGATCAGACAGCTTGAAACAGTGGCTGTGCGCAAGCTGAAGCTTCTCAGCCAGGGCAAAGAGCTGCACAGGTATTGCTACTAGCAGTGCCCAGTGGGTGTAGTAATAGCGTGTTGTTGATATTATAAATGCCCGGAAGGACGCACAGCTTGTGGATTCCCGAACATGGTGTGGGATGATGCTTTGCACTAGCTGTGCCCTGCTGCTCAGAGAGCTGGTGGAGATGTGCTATGCAGTAATTGTACAGGGAATTTGCAATCATCAGCAGAATGTTGTTTGTGCACCGTTACCTCCTTGTGATTAATGTATTTGAACTAGAGAACAGGCAGTGTGCTTACAGCTTTTGTGTGATTATTGCGTTTGAGCTTATATATCGAGGTAGAAGACAGGTTTGGTAATGGGTGAAACTTAGGTAGCAGTAAGACTGAAGCATAATGTATACACATCAGATGCTTCGGTCTGTAAGCGAGTGCAGTGTAATCGAGTAGGATGCGCCAGCTGCGGCACATGCTTGAAAATTCACTCGTGTCGCTGTTCACGTGTGGTTCTTGACATTGTCGCTGAGCTGCATGATCGCAAGGCGCTCTGTCGGCCTCGATCGGACGATGATATCACCTTATCGACGTCTTGGCATCGGCCATCGGACGGTCCAGTATTTTTCCTTGCTATCTGATCAACCATTCGAATGTATCTGCGAGACATTCCTCGTCGTTTCCAGCGTCTATTTCGACGAGTCGCCCTAGTGGCGACATTTCTAGTCCCATCCCTAATCCCCAGGCCCCAAGTTCCGACCAAATTCGTCGCACCACATCCATCCACCGCTCCCTTGGGTTGGTGGCGAGGGCTAGAAGCAGCAGGGGCAATCAGGCGTGATAAGACGATGCGATGTTGCAGAGCAGACTGTACTACTAGCAGCCCGGACTCCACGGACGGTGCATTAGCGACGATATGGACGAATGATATACTCATAAAGTTCGCTAGTGCATTGATACGAGCTAGATAGACGTCTAAAATCGTGAAGTGCCGGATGCGGCGCACTTGAGATTGACGACAGCCACGATCACCTTCTGGAAGGCTTTCAAATATTATTTAGCGCAACAGGCGAAGTGCTACAATCAGCAGCCATTACTCAAGAGCGCAATGGGTAGCATCGGGAGGGTATCGGCGTTTTGGCTGCTTGTTGCGCTGACGTTACCTGCAGTGCTGGCGGGGGGAGGAGCGGAGGGCGGGAGGCGGCTATCGCCATCGGTGGCGACGACTACCGAAGCCGGGGCGATCGGCAAGAAAACGACGAACTCTGCGGACGCAGTCGAAGAGGCGAGAGCGATGACGGCTTTGTTGGTGAAGGCGCCGCGGACAGCCATGGCCAACGCGCCTTTCCTCCAAGCGCTCTGTCCGTATCACCCCGTCAGCGGCTTCCCGCCGCGTGGCCGCCACGCCTTGAGCTCCGTCGCTTAGTCGCATTTTTGTTGAAAGCGTACCCTTTCATACGCTGCAATTACTTGACCCGCCCCGCGCATGACCCATCCCGCGCCCTTGCGCCCCCTCGTCCGCGCTTCACGAGAATCATCCGCAGCTCCCTGGTCCGCGCTCATTACGCCCCTCTCTTCGCATTCTGTTTCGCTCTCCATCCACTTCACTCCCGGTTTCACCGTTCCTTACCATCCCCCCTTCTCCCCCCTCACCTTCCCCCCTCATACCCCCTCCCGCTGTCCGCCCATCAGTCGACGCGCGGAGAGGAGGTTCCGCGACGCTGTTCCTTCCGCTGAGCGGCTTCCGCGTGCTGGCGGACGCCGTCGGCTACGATTACCCGCACTTCAACCGCATCCTTAAATACCATCTTATACCCGACGCGCGCTACACTTTAGCGGATCTGAAGGCGCTGCGGGAAGACAGTCTACTGCCGACCGCCGAGGGCAGCAAGTTGAAGGTGTTTTCGAGCCGCGGCTCGAAGATCGTGTGGCTGCAGGGGCGCTCTATCATCCCTGCGGCTGTGACTATACCGAACCTGTTTGTGGGGGAGCGCATCATTGTGCACGGGCTTAGCCAAAGACTCATTCCGCCCTCGTTTTAGTCACTGCGCTCACCAACCCCCCGTTTATGAGCCGTGCGTTTGTTTCTCTTGTAAACGCACGGGTTAGAGGTTTTCCCCATATGCTTTGAACACAGGCCCATTGCCTGTAGGGCAGTGCAGCACTCCAGTGCACTGCAGCATCCCTTCCGAGTTAGCCTTGTGCGCATGGGGGCAATAGCTGGGGGTGGCTGACTGCTGTCGTCCCCTGCTCTTTGCTCCTCTTAGAGCCGGCCTAGGATTAGGTGTTGTAGGCTAGTTGCTCATAAATAATGTAGAGATGCCTTTATTGTACAACAAGAGCTGACAGATACATGTGCAGGGAAAAAACAAAATGAGGCTTACATTAACCCAGTTGCCTACCAAGGCCTACCGGTAAACCCTATCAAGCACATGGACCTGTGCTCTGGGAAGTTGACCAAATCCATGGCGCCTCACACCCCCTTCACACATGACCCTGCCCCAGCAGACACGTCACTAACTCCACTCAATGCCGCCCCCACTCTCCCCATTTCCCCTTCCCCACCAAACCCCCATCCTACCCCATCACCCCTCACCCTGCTCGCCCCTTCCTGCAAACTGCCATCTGAAACACTTGAATCGGGGAGGCTTATAACGGGTACATCCGCCCAGCGCTTGGTGGAGCTGAGGCGGCGCCGGGCCCAATGGCACTGGATGGACTGTGCCGCCCGGGACATGGGCCGCCGCACCTCCTCCCAATCCACCGTCGCCACGCGCGACAGCAGCTGCACCACCCCCTCCTGCTCCTTCACCCCCTGCCCACCACTGCCAAAACGGCCGCTGCTGCTGCCCCGGCCTGTGTGCGGTGTGTGCGCTGCTCCCTGTGACTGCGTCTGCAGCACTGCTGCCGGCGCTCTGCCACTGAGGGTGCGGTCGAGCGGAGGGCGGGTGGGGGCATGAGAGCGGGCAAGAGAGAGGCTGCTGCAGCTGAGAGCGCGCCCTGGCAGGGGAGGCGGGATGGCGGCAGCAACAGCAGTGCCAGAAACAGCAGTGCCAGCAGCAGTAGTACCAGCAGAGACAGAAGAGCTGGCCTTACTGCTCTCTGGGCGGCGGTGTGCCGCCTGGCACGCTGCCGCCCAGCTGCTCTGGCGGGGGTCGAGAGGGAGCGAGGGAGACGCGAGAGAAGGAGCGGAGGAGGCAAGGGGGTGAGGGCTGATCTCAGCAGCAGCAGCAGCAGCAGCAGCAGCAGCAGCAGCAGTAGCAAGTGGAAACGTTGTGGCAGCTTGGATGGCAGTGGGTGGAGTAGCAACAGCAGGGGCGGCAACAGCAATGCCAGCAGCAGCCAAAGAAGCAGCAGCAGGCAAAGGCACAGAGGCAGGCACAGCGAGATGAGCGGGATGGGGACTTAAGCAACTGCCGCCCATGCTGCCACCGCTGCTGGGGGATGGAGAGGCGGCAGCAGTAGGCAGGCAGGCGAGAGGGGCGGTGAGTGCGGGAGGTTGAGGAGGTGCGATGACAGCAGGGGGAGCAGCGGTGGGTGGCGTGGGGGAGAGGCAGGCCGCTGTGCATTCGCGCACCACCGAAGCCAGGTCCCACTCCCTTCTCACCCCCTCGCCCCTGTCCTCCATGTCACCAGCACCCCTCATAACTCCATTCACACCGCACACCACCACGTCCAGCTCCTCCCACACCCCTCCTCCTCCCTCCTCGCCTTCCATCCCCTCCAGGCCACTGGCGTTCATGGCGTGAGGCGAATCCCACAGCTCTGCACTCACTGCCACGCTGGCAGCTGCCTCAAAGTCCATTGGTGCCACGCTGGCAGCCTCCTCCGTGCTCATTGGCTGCGATGGCTGGGACTGGCCAATCAGGAAGCAGGGCTGGTTCATCGGTGCACCTTCAGGCAGAGTGGGCTCTGCCAGAGGACCCCCATCGTGTGCACTCCACCGCTCACCACCGTCCGTCATACCTCTCTGTTCCGCACTCACCGCTGCCTCGTGGGCCTCTGCGCCCTCCACGGCGCCTCCCTTGCCGCCTTCCACCGCGCCTTCCGCGTTTCCATCCCCATTCCCACAAATCTTCTCAGAGCCATGTAGTTGTGCCCACTCCTCAAGGCCCCCCTCTTGCCGTTGCTGCTCTTGCTCTTGCAGGTCGGGCTGCTGCTGTTGTTCTTGCGCTGGTCGCCACCCCGCGCTGATTCCCCCTTGCTCACAGTATGCCAGGCTTGCCACCCCATCCAGGCTGGCCGGCAGGCTCGGTGCCAGGCTCGGATCCATGATCGGTAGCGGAGGCGAGGGGCTCGGCAGTTCGTCCAGGTCTGGCAGGCGAGCCCAGTCCACCTCGGCCTGCTCCCTGGATTCCAAACCTGTGGCCATCTGCCACTCCAGGCTCGGCAGCAGGTTCGGCACGGCGCCCGAGCCTTGCTCGCCAGCGCAGGCCAGAGGCATGCGTGGGAGGTCCGAAGTGCCTTCGTCAGGCCACAGTGACGGCATGGAGTGTGCCTGTAACGAGAGAGCTGGAGAGCCGCTCCAATCGGGCGATTCATACAGTTGTGATTCAAACGAGGGGCCCTGTGGGCCTAGAGCGGGTGATTCTAACGAGAGCTCGGCCAGCAGGCTCTTGCTGCTGCTGCCGTCCACGTGAGGGCGTGGTTGCGGTGGGGAGATGGGCGAGGGGAGTGAAGGGGCGGCAAGAGGGGGTGAGGAGGCGGGTGAGAGTGGGGGTGGGGAGGTAGGGCGTGCGGGACGGGGAGAGAGAGGCGCAGGTGCATGCGAACCGGGAGGGGCGCCACCTTTGCAAGCAGACAGGTCAGCCTGGGACGCAGACACGTCAGCATAGGACGCAGACAGGTCAGCAGCAGCAGGAGGGGGCACAGCAGCAGAGGCGGAAGCAGGAGCCGCGGCGGAGCCCAGCGACCGTCCCGGCGTTGCTGATTCCCCTCGCGCCACCTCCGCGCCATCTGCGGCGTCCCTCTGCGCGCCACGCGCGCCCGCCGCCTTGCCATTGCGCGCGGCCACGTGCGGCGCGTTGGAGCTGCCCTGCCGCGAGAACGGCCTTCGCGCGCGCCGCTTTCCCCCGTCTCCCGCGCCCTGCTGGCCTATCGAAGCCCCCCCATCCGCGGCGGAGCTCCCCGCGGGCGCGACGACCGCCGTCCCCGCGGAGTGAGCCGTTGCTACCGCCTCCCGCAACACCGCCACCTGCCTCGCCGTAATGGCGCCCCCGTTGCTGCGCGCTCTCGCGGACGCCGACATTGACGCCGTCTTTGACGCTCCGCGTTTCTCGCCGCCAATCACTGAGCCCAGCGACCCTTCTTCCGCATCTGCCGAACCGCCGCTCGCCTGCGCGCAGATCAAGCCCACGGCGCCCTCAGATCCCGAACCATTCGCCTCTGCTGCATCCCCCTCCGCAGCCGCCGCGTCCGTGGGGCATCGCTGAAGGCAGCTCTGCGCGCTCGGAGTAGGCGGCTCGCTGGTGGTTGCTTCCTGCCCGAGGCTGAAGCTCTGGCTCGGTCCGGACTTGGTCGGTTGCTCAAGACTGGAAGCAGGTTCGGAGGCACTGAACGTGGGGTCAAGAAAGCTCCAAAGCTCCCCGAGCGTTTGGCGAAAGATGGGCGCTGGAGAAGGCAGTAGCGAACGTCGCTGCAACAACTTTTTCGCCAGAGGCTGCCCGACAGCAACATCTGCCTTCTGTTTCGCGCCGCGATTGGCGCGTGCGCTCGTATCAAGACTCATCGGCGCGGGAGCCTGCGCCGCGAGACTGGCCGAATCCCCGCCGCGCTTGCGCTGCGCGGCTAATCCGTCGCGCGGGAAGGCGGGGGCAGTGGGGGAGGACGGAGCACTCTCAGGTTGATCGCAAGAATCCGAGGCGCTCGCGTTCAGAGCGTCCACTTGCTTCCACTCACCGCCAGTTGCGACGGTTGACTCGGTCAACGGAGCCTTCTCCTTCTTCCCCCTCGTCCGCTTCGGCTGCTTGCTGGCACCCGCCAAGGCCTCACGGCGGCGCTTTCTCGCCGTCGCTCCGCTGCCGCCGGTGTCGGCCGCTTTGGCCGGCGGGGAGGAGAGGGCGCTGGCGAAGGCGGCGGGGTGAGAAGCGACGATCTGGATTGAGTCGTTTGCGTGGCTCGCGGCGACAGTGGCGCTGGCTGGAGGCGGGGAAACTGGCAGCCACTCATCGATCAGGACTGTTGGGCTAATATCCGTCATCGTGCCACGTGGCAGCGGTCAGACCTACGAAATTCGTGTACGGTACGGTCTAGAATTCAGAGGATCAGGGCTCGTACTGCGGCGCGCGCGAGGTGCGCCGGGCATGAGCCCAAGTTGCTCGAATTCGTGCCTGGTACGTGCCGCTATTCGTCACGTTCCCGGAGCTACGATGGCGTCAAAGGTAAATTAGTTTATTGCCAGAACGCGTACTAAGACGAATGCGGACGATGCAGACTCGTCCCACGTGATAGCTCAACATTGGCGAGAATAGCTGCGACCTCTGTTGGAGGGCCTGAGCTCAAGAAGGCGCAGCTTCATGCCCAAGTTGGTGTGTAAGATGCAATAGCTTTGAGAGGCGCGAAGTGAATTATTGGAATGGAAAGGGGGTGATTGGGTGATATGAGCCAAGAATGCGAATCCGCGGAAAAAATGCGACGGCGGGTGAAAGCAGGCGGAAAACACGTCAAACTCGAAGTCGGCCCCCGTCGTCAAACCGCATAACTTGCGCCCACTCCGCCACCTTCCGCAACCTGCCCTCGCCCACCCAGCTCAGCCTGGCCGAGTAACGATGGAGACCCTTGGATTCGGGATAGGGTAATCTCGTCCGTTGCAACGCGTTTTGAATTATTGGTGGTGCAGGAGCGAGAGCCAATGGTGGGTCGAGGTGAGCTGACATTGCACCTAACAAGCTTGCGACATTCTAAGAGCGGGTTACGTCCTCAAGACGAAAATCGCAGGCACAAATAAGAACGCAGAAGTCCATAATAACCGTAACAAGTCCGAATGGAATAAACGTGTACTTAAGACTAAGATCAAAATCAAGTGTGTGCATATCTAATGCGAGGCATGGACATCAAATGCAGTAAGTATTAATGCAGCCACTTTATGAGATAAAATAACTATGGGCACCTGGAAGTTGGAACTTGAAGTGCCAGATGATCTCCATCCAACCCCAGAGGAGCAACTGGCTCCTCACCTTTCCATGGATGTGTTGGCACCCTCTGAAAATGTTTTTTCCGGGGTTTTTGCCATACTCGAGTACGTTTGAAATAAGCCACTAAATTACTGTCAGGCAATTCTTCAGTATTAACCAGCAGGCTGCATCCAGCATGAACCATGCATTTTCCATGCCGCGGCACAATGACTGGACAATGTACGAGCACCATACTCCCCTCCACTACCATTTATTCCAGAACTGTCTGAGTTTGAAGCAGCAAAATGGTTTGCACGATCAGCAGCAGCTCACCCCTCAGCAACTTCCGCAACGATTTCTCAAACCCCTTGTCCCCTCCTCCCCCCTCTTCCCCCAAATCAGCACCATGGTTTCACGATGAACTCCAAAGAGATCCCACACGAAAAACAACAGCTTGCAACAGCTCACAAGCCTTGGTCAGCTGCACTCAGAAGCCATGACCCCATGGCTTGCAGCAGAGCCCCGGCCCCATGCTCTCCCTCACCCGCATGTGTTCTGCACCGTGGTGCACCCCTGCTCGTCATCCAGGCAATTCCCTGTCACCAGTAGCTTTGCCGGGCGCGCATTCGGGCAAATGCCCTTCACGCGTGGTGACCCCGTGAACAAGTTGTTTCGGGCATCCAGAAAGAACTTGCTATTGGCGCCAAGGTAAGGCTGGGGCAGTGGGCCGGTTAACTGGTTATTAGCGAGCACGAGGCGCAGCAGGAAGGAGAGGGCGTTGAGGCTATCTGGGAGATCGCCCGTGAGGCCATTGTTGCTCAGATCCAGCGCTGTCAGATTCACCAGCGATCCAATCTCATCGGGAACTGCGTCGCTGAGGGTGTTGTTCTGCAGCTGCAGCGTTTTGAGGTTGGAGAGGTCACTGACCTCAGCAGGAATCGAACCCGTGATCTCGTTAAGCCCCAGGTTCAGCACCTCTAGGCTCGGAAGCCCGCTCCAGGTGACGTCAGCCAGCGCGATGCTTAGCTGGTTGTTGGCCAGGTTGAGCTGGCGCAGGTCGCTCATGAGGGAGATTTCCGTCGGGAGGGCAGTGATACGATTGGATGAGAGGTCCAGCGTGTCAACCGCGGCGGAAGATGCGAGGAGGGTGGCGGGAATGTCCGAGAAGAGGTTTCCCGACGCCGTGAAGGTGAACGCGCCATCCACGAGCTCCGGAAGCGCGGCGGGGAGGGCGGTGAAGAAGCAGCGGTCCAATTGGCCGAACTGCAGCTTCGCCAGACTCGAAAACGCGTCCGGGATTGGTCCAGAGAAGTACGAATCGCTGACGTTGAGAACCACCAAATCGGCCAATCCGCTGATGGCGGGCGGAAGCGCGCCGCGGAGGAGCGTCTTGGAAACGTCGAGGAAGGTGAGCTTGGTGAGCGTCCAGATCTGATTCGTTCCGCCGTAGAACGTGTTGTTGCTTAGGTCGAGGCGCTTCAGCTTCGGCAGCTTCGATAAGTACCACGGAATCGGGGCGACGATCTCGTTATTGGCGAGGATAAGGGTGTCGAGATTGGTGAGGTTCGTGAGCGCGATGGGGATCCCCGCGGTCTTCCAGCGCATGCTAGCAGAAGTGAAGTTGAGGCGGAGCACGTCCCCCGCGGAGTTGCACGTCACGCGCAGCCAGTTCGCGCAGGGCTTCCCCGCGCCCCACGTGCTGCTCCCCGTGAAGTATCCGAAGGCCGTTTTTGAGGCTCAGCAGCGCCGACTCCTGCGGCGGTTTGATGGTCTGCGCGCGTGCAGGGCTGCTACCGGAGAGGCCAATAACGAGGAAAGCGGATAACAGCAGGAGAAGGGTGAAGCGATGACTGTTCCCATGGGAATACGAGATTCTGTCGCTACTGCCGCGTGAACGCTTCATGGCTAAGGAGAGAATTCGTCCGCGCGAGAGACTAAGAGAAGTACCGTAGTAGCAAGTTTGTGAAGTCTTATACATGAACACAGCCTGTTATATAACATGGATTTGAGTAAGGTGAACACAGAGAAGCGATAGTGGAACGGGTGGAAGCGGGCCGCTCTGAGAGAAGCGGCGGCTTTCGTGATTGTACGGCACGCTGTTAGGAGGTGGGCGGCGGGGCCTGATGGCGTGCGAGACAAGTGGATGCGCGAGCGGCGGTGCGGAGGGAGCGTTGAAAGTGTCGGTTTTTGTCTAACCATCACAAGTAGTCATGTAAAGTGAGTGAAAGCACCATAGAAAGGATGAAGGCGATTGTGTGCGACTTGTGTTTCCCTTCGACTCTGGCGGGGGGAAGCGAGATGGTGCTGGTGGGGGGAAGCGAGGTGGTGCTGGTGGGGGGAGAGGACGCGCAAACTTGATTTGTACGCGCGTTAGTTGCACCAAGCAAGGGCTCCCGCAAGAGGATTCCGCAAATTCGTTACCACCCCCAAACCAAACCATCTTTTGTTCCAAGCAACAACTACAGGTCCGCCAGACCACCTGCGCCACGGGGTGGATGAGGGGAAGTTGCGGAGGTGTGTCAAGTCGAATCCACCCAGACCGGAAGCGGCTCGGTGCCGCCAGGCGAGGCTGCCTGGCTTGGCTCGGATGTCTCCACTAGCGTGTGGTCTGGCCAGAGCAAATTCAAGTTCGTTCATCTTGTCTCGAAGTGCATGTTCGACCGAGGCCCAATCGAATCCAACAGTGCTGGTCGTAACTGGAAACTGCGGCAGGGCTTGAAAAACTCGCTATTAATTATCCGACACCGCACTATAACCAGTGATGTGTGAATTGACAAAGCTTCTGTACCCGGTGCTCCAATACCTGTCTTGACTAATGATTAATCCCTCCGCATTAGACAGGAAGGTTGACACTGATGCAAGAGCTTGATGGAGAGCCTGTCGCAAGACATGTGGATTTGAGGAACAGAGGGCTCTTCAGGGCAATGGAGATGTAATTCCTCATAACGTAACTACATTCCATATAGACAAATGGTAAGCGAAACAAAGCTGAACTAACCTAGTAACTCCAGCCATCTGTATCTCTTTATTTCCAATCACCCCCAGGTAACCCTCTTGTGCTGGCGTCCTAAGAAGCCCCCTAACCCCACGATCCTACCCAGCTATCTCGCACACACGCGCTGGCTGGTCGAGCAGTCCGTCTCGTCATCCAGGCAGTTCCACGCCACGCGCAGCCGGTTGGGCCGCGAGTTGGGGCACACATCCCGCACCAAGGGCGACCCCGTGAACGAGTTGTTCCGCACGTCCAGGTAGAACCCCGGCTCCGCCCCCAAGTACGGCTGCGGCAGAAGCCCGGCAAAGTCATCCCCAATCAACACCAGCCGCGTCAGCGACTGCAGCTCACTGAACCCCGCGGGAAAATCTTGTTTGTCGCCCAGAGCCACATTGAGTCCGATGTCCAGCGAGACAAGGTCCGTGAGCAGCGTCAGCTCGTCGGGCAGCGAGCCCGTTAGCAGGTTCGTGTGGAAGTGCAGGTGCCTCAGCCCAGTGAGCGCCGCGAGGTCCGTGGGGACGGTGCCGGTGATGGCGTTGCGGCCGAGGTACAGCTCCTCCAGCGCCACCAGCTCGCTCCACGCGATGTCCTCCAGTGGCGTCGTGATTCGGTTCGCCGCGAGGTTCAGCACCTTGAGCTCCGTCAGCAGCGCCACCTCCGTCGGGAGCTCCGCCAGCAGGTTCCCCCACAGGTCGATGCTGAACACGCCCGCGGCGGACGCGGGGAAGGTGATGGGGATGCTCATGATGAGGTTGCTTTTTCGCGGCGAAGGTCAAGTTGCCTGGGTCCAGCTCGGGGAAGGCGGGCGGCAGCTCCGTGAAGAAGCAGCCGCTGAAGTCGCTGTATTCGAGCTTCACAAGGTTGCTGAACGACGCGGGCATGGCGCCGCGGAAGTAGTTCGACGACACGTCTAGGTACGCGAGGTTCGTCAGCGCGCCAAGCCCCGCGCCGAGCGGCCCGACGAGCAGATTGTGGGAGATATCGAGGTACGTGAGCTGAGTTAATTTCCAGATTCTGCTCGAGCCGCTCCCGTAAAAGCGATTCAGCTGAAGGTTGAGGATTTTCAGGGAAGTGAGGGTGGAGAGGACGGTTCCGAGTTCGGCGGTGATGCTGTTGTTGTACGAGGCTGAGGAAGGCGAGCTTCGTGAGCACGGAGAGGGACGGCGCGATGCCGACGCCCGTGGAGCGAATCATCGCGTTCGCGAGGTGGAGGTGCGTGACGTCACCCGCGCTGTTGCACTGCACACGCTGCCACGTGGAGCAGTCCGCGCCCGCCTTCCACGTGGAACTTCCCTTGAAGCTGCCGTACGCGCTCTTGGCGTTCAGCATCGCTTTTTGCTGGTACGGTTTTATTACTGCTGCGTTCGCGTGGAGATGGGACGACACGAGCAGTGATACCAAAAGTATAATGACAGGAATGTTTCGACCCATCTTGTCTGGCTAAAATTATTTGTCGACGAAATAAAGAAAGTTGCTTTGACGAATCGGCAAAACGGATTATCAGGGAATGAAGATAACAAGAATCTGGAACAGCGAGTCGTTTTGTATCTGGGAACGAATTGTTGGGATGGAGAACTGGAGGTGCTAATTGCTTGGCGTGCTTGGAGGTGGGGAAGGCATGTATCCCCGCGGGAGGTGGGGGGGGGCAGGGGGGGGTAACGGGGGAATGGCAGGATGGCGTGTACGGAACGGTTCGGTCGGCGTAGGCGGCTGCTGCTTTGGAGCCCTTACGACACTGCTGATTGGTGTTTAACTTGCCAACAAGCTCGTTCCCCCTGGTCCGGGACCTTGAATCTGGTTAGGAGTTTCCGAGTTCCCTAAACTGGTACCCAGCCTAAGTGCGCCATTCGGCTCGGTCTGTTTGGTTAGGGATTTCCCCGATGACTTGTGTTTCCAGCGTGCTTCTATCCAAGTACACCCTGTTTCTTGATGTTTGAACAAATCGGGAGCTCGGCTACAGTGCGCACGTGTGCTTGGATTCAGCGGGCTGGTGCTTGCAAACGAAATGCACTTCAGGAGAACGGTAGACAACGGTTTATGAAAAACGTGCTTTTGAGTTCGGTTTCGTACGGCAAAAGTGCTTATACAGTATGTTCTGGGACCGATTTGGACGCATTGATGTCAGTACAATCGGCTTGTCAATATGGCGAATGTCAGTGTGGCGCGAAACAGGGTGTATGAATGAGCTGGTGGCGGTCGGAGCTGGTTTGGTCAGACAGGGCCCGAACCAGGGCTGTCGATTGGTTTGGAGCCAGAACTTGAGAGGCTGAGGTGCCCCAAAAGTTGCCCTGAAATTTACGGGCTGAGAGCAAACCTGGCACTTGAAATCAGGGCTAGCAACTTTTTTGCACTTTCGCTAAGGAAACCCCACATCTCTTCGGGTCCGTTATCTTAGGCAAACTACTAAGAGCCAGCTAAGCAATAGGCTGAGGTACGAAACATGTCGATGGATTTGACAGGGATGGGAAAAGTAGGGGAATGGCTGGGAGGAGGCGAGTGGACTGGTGAGGGAATGGAAGGGAGGGAGGTATTAGTATGGGACGATAAGGGCTAGCCGCGGGATCTGCACTTGAAATCCGGTTAGGCCCACAACCAGCACTTAACGGGGACGGGCTGCCCTTAAATCCAACCCTTAAAATTCGGAAGCTGGGGCCGAACCCAATCCTTAATGTTCAGGGGCATTAAGGGCATTTGCCCTTGAATCGTCAGCCCTGGCCCGAACCCGGCCTCCTTGCCCCCTTCGAGCCGCAAAAATATCTCGAGCGCGACCAGAAAGCGGCTGCGTTGTCGTTTTCTGCTTGCCAGCACTTCAACAGCACGATACAGAACTTGAGATAAAACAGCCTATAATCTATATCGAAGCAAATTCAAAACCGACAAAGTCATTGCTCTCCCAACAGCGACATCTCTCCTTCACCCGCACCACCTGCAATTCCACCTGATCCCCTTGGCCAGATCCATAACCATGCAACTCCCCCACCCACCTGCGACTAAGCACCGACCATCTTTGCTCAATTCAAAAAACCCCTACAATCCCATTATCCCACCAAACCTTCTTCCCCCCACACACACCATTCTCCCCTCTTCCTTGTTCCAACCTGTACATCTGCACAGGTGGTGGCCTCTCCTCGCTCCTCTTGTCCATCCCCCGCAGGCACGACCTACCCCGGTAACTACGCTCGATACACGCACACACTGCACAACAAACAACAGATTGGGAGAAAAAGGTGCAGCAAGCTTCAACCGAAAACACGACACAACACCACCCAACCCAAGCCCTCCCTAAGGACGTGGTAAAAGTAGACGATCAGTTTGTCCGTCACGATCGTTGTGCGGATCGGTTACCCTTTTCACTACACAAAACGCTACAAACGCTTTTTGGCCAATTTTTTTGTCCATCGTGTGGAATGCCGACTGATCACTGATCGCGGGAGGTCTGTCAAATCTCAGTAGCGATCGTTACAACGTCGCGATCGCCACGCTTCGCCAATCGATCTGCTCAATCGATTGCGGGGATCGATATGTGCAGACGATCCTGCGAAATTTGCACTTGACCGCGTCCTAATCGCCCGTAATGTGCAGTGAGTCAGCAGCACCTAACAACTCCCAGATTTCTCGCTTACTACTAGAGCAGCGCAGAGACACTGGCGTCACGGACCAAGTGTTTCCGGCAGCCATTTTGTGACGTTACATGTGGCGGTTATCTGCACTAAGTGAAGCCGTCTGGAACGAATTTATGCGCGCTCGAACGTTGCCGCAAGCAGCTCGATGTCGACAGAGCGTCCCATATCCTCATGAACCGCCCCTTACCGCTCCTCACTACCAGAACCGCGCCGCATTGTAGACACCATGAAGCCGCATTTAATCTACACCCTCTTCCTCCTCTTCTTTCTCCCTTCACCTTCCGATCGCCTGGTTTCGTCAGTCAAGATCAAACCATCGCAGGAGAACGCGTTATTAGCTCTCAAGGGTGCTTATAGCGGATTCACTGGCTCCACTTCGTGGGCGAAAGGCGCCGATTGCTCGAAATGGGTCGGCGTCGCCTGCGGTCCCGTGGGAAACGTTCTCAAACTTGCTTTAAACAGCTCCGGTATAAAAAGCCCCGTCGCGGGAATACATTCTAGCTTATCGGGTCTGTCGCATCTACAGATGCTGAACCTCGCGAATAACGCCCTGCTCGGGCCGCTGACGACGACTCTCTCCAAGCTGACTCGCTTACAGCATCTAGACCTTTCGAGCAACCTCTTCAACAAGAACCCTAACTACATCTGGAACCTCACGCAGCTGACTTACCTCGACATCTCCAAGACACTCGTCAGCGGGCCGCTTTCACCGTCCATTGGCGCGCTTACCAACCTCAAGGTTCTAAACGTGTCCAATACTTACCTCTCAGGAGAAATTCCCGACGAGTTCAGTCGCCTCGCAAATCTGCAGTTCGGCCATTTCGACAAATGCTTTTTCACGGACCTGCCGGCAATGTTCCCGGAAATAGACGGCAGCTCGTCTAACCTGACGTTCTCGGCAAGCGTCAACTTGTTAGCCGACATGCCCATCACTTTCCCCGCCTCGGGCGCAGGCGTCGTCGCGATGGACTTGGCGGGGAACCACATCGCATCGCTCCCGACGGAAATCGTGCTAATGAGCGACCTGACCAGCCTGAACCTTGCTGGGAACGGCATCGACGGACAGATGGCGGACTACGACTGGCCGATCCTCGAGAACATCGAAGGGCTGTTCTTCGGGCGGAATCTGCTAGCTGGCGAGGTCCCCGTGTCTCTAAGCACGCTCACGAAGCTTAAATACTTCCACTTCGGCGCTAACGCGCTCAACGGTACCTTGCCTGAAGAGCTGGGAAACCTGTCAGAGCTCTTGAGCTTGGATTTAAGTGGTAATGCGGACCTTGGAGGTTATTTTCCGGTCAGCATAAACGACCTGCCGAATCTGACCCGGTTGGTGCTCTCAGGAGACAGCTTCACAGGGCCTCTGCCGCAGCCGGCTCTGGGAGCCCTCAGCACGTTCATTCTAGACGTGCGGAAACAACTCGTTCTCGGGGTCGCCAATCATCCAGGGTGTTTGCCCCGCGGATTACCCCACGCGGCTGAAGGTGGAGGAAAACTGCTTGGATGTGCTGGCCGGACTGCGAAACCACCCAGGCCGTTTGCTCATGACTGCTGTGTGCTGCTGGCTGGGCCGTGTGCTGTGGGCTTTCTATTTGCCTTGGCGATGCAGAAAGAGAGGCATGGCTGTTGTGTCGGAAGAGAGGGGCTGCTGTGGGTGGGAGAAAAGAGAGCACCTCTGGAGGCACAGGTGGGGACTGGCTGTGGGAGAAGTGGGAGGTAGATATGTGGTTATGTTTTGGGCTGGATGCAAAATGGCATGGATGGACAGTGGAGACAAAATGGGGTGGATCTGGGTAGCAATCAGGGGAAAGCTAGAGTGCCCTATGTGAAGCAGGTGAAGCGAACAAATAGAGAAACCCGCATCAATTCAAGGGCACGGATGGATAGAGAAGCCGTTGGTATTGGACAATGCAATACCGTATGTAGCTTTTCTTTATTTAGAGATTGATGCTCATTGATATATTGTTGTAAGGGAAATTCCTTTTCCTTCGCGTCCCCGCTCAGCGCGTACACCACTGTAGCACCACAGTCAGCACCGTTACCACTCGCAACCATTGCATCGACAATCCTCCCGCCACCTTCGCACGTCGCACCCCGACCTCACGGCTCGGCGGGTAACCCGCGCTCCGGGCCTTTTGCTTCGACATTTTCCCCAACCTCAGTCCCAGGCCCGTCGCGCGACAACCACAGTTCATTACCGTTACCATTGAGTTTCGCTATATATTCTTCGCTCATGCCTTCGCTCATTGGACTCTTGCTTCGATAGTGCAATCCTCAATCGCTCACTCAATTGCACACGTAACACTTGGTATTCAGAGCCTACGATCTCTCCTCGGACCGCACCCACACCTTCGCTTCCCCACTATCTCGATTTTTTTGGGGGGGTAGACGTCTCTCAGCGACACCAGCACCGACCGCTTGTAGTGCTCTCTCGTAAGCACGAAGGCCACGACAGAGGCTCTCGCTGAGCTCCGCGCGACACCCTTGCCATGGCCGAATTCACGCTCGCGACGTTGACGCAGGAGCAGCTTGACCGTCTGGTACGCCAAGTTGAAGAATCGGCGCTCGAAATTCCAACGCTCACAGGCGGAACGTGACTCCGCGCGTCAGCAATCCACGGTGAATACTCCAGCGCCACCACACGCATCGACAAATGCATCTGCACAATCGGACGAACCGATCGTCATTTCATCCGGCACACCAACACAACACGACAGCATGGGATTGTCAGATATATATGACATAGCTATTGTAGGCTATAGTGGGGTAGCACATATGGGGTACAGTTTTCTAGGGTTTGTATTTGTACCCAACTTTCACTTAGTCATTCCCATTCTCGTTCAACTTCTCTCATGGTATCGAGCAGGTTCCCCTGTGGGAACTGCGCCTAGGGCCCACCACTTCGATTTTTTTTTACTGCCCGAATCGCGCTCATCCCGAGTCGCGCCTCGGGCTGTTAACTCGACGAGCCGCCCTAGCGGCCTTCCCCTCCCCTAGCGGCCCTGCCGCCCTACTGTCGCGGCCTG